CACCAGTCCCACTCCTGATTGCTGGGGCCACACAATCTAGTATTTAGCAGCACCTCCCTAGACAGATAAGAATGGTAACAGCTAAGTGTGCTCCACATTTCCTCCCTCAGGACTGTTTTCTGCAAGCTTGGAATGAAATGATGGGGCCCTGGTAATGGGGAAGGCAGGAAGAAAGGGGCTGCAGTGGAGGAGAGTTCAGGAAGTTTGGTACCTCAGGTTCTTTGCACGTGTGGAAAGGACACACAGACCCTTGTGTCTCGATTGAAGGTGGAAAAGAACAAATTTTGAAAGAGAGAACAAACAGGTAAATGGGAATAAAAAATCTCAGCAGGGTGAAAAGCAGGTGTGCTGGGCTGGCCTGATATTTGTGATGCACTGTTCGGCAAGGAAAGGAAAACAAAGGAGAACCTCAGTACTTCAGGGCCAAACTGGCAGCAGGGGGGTGCTGGGAGAAAGCCAGAAGGGGACTTCAGATGCTGGCCTTGCATATGCTCTCACTGAGTGTTTTCAGGAGTGCTCCTGGGTGAGAAGTGGGAGTGGTGGCAAGTGACACTTGCGAAGGACATGCAGACAGTCTGCCGTTTCTTTGTGAAGCTGGCTGTTGCATGCAGGAACAACTGGGGAGACTGACAGCAGCAGAAGTGGGATGTGCTCTGGTAGGTGTAGTGTGCAGGGTTGCAGGCACAAGCATTGCTGTCTACTGGAAGGTCATAAGTTGGGTATAAGAGGAGCAGCAGGACCTGAGAGAGCTGGGAACAGCTCCCTTCTGTATGATGTGGCTTTGTAAAAGCTAGAGTGTTTAATGGCTTTGCACAAGCCTTTGTGAGACTCCCATCCATGTAAAGGAGGATGCCAAGTAAGAAGAGAATCGATGAGGTATGCAGAGGTCAGGAACTGAAGAGTTTGTCTAACAGGAAGAGACTTCGCTTGTTCATCAAGTGAAGAGCATGAGAGAATCGGGTTGATGGGAACTAAAGAGCAGTGTTTAGCATGACAACAAATGCGGTGTGAGCTGGCCACCAGTAAACTTGGGCTGGAAATTGAAGTGGTCAAAAATGAGACCACCAGATCAGAGAGGAAAACTTTTGGTTTTTTTGATGTGATAGTATCTTTGAGTACGGTGATGTTGCACTGCCAGCTTGGGTGCTGTGTGTCAGCAACAGAGAATCTTGTTCTCATTGCTGAAAGGAAAGCTGTCCTCCACCTCATCCATCCTCAGGACCAGAAAGCCGCACTGCCCAGGAATATAATAGGAGCAAATGCAAAAATCTGCTACTTCTCTCCTGACAGCAGCTGAGATGAATAATAATAATAGTTCATCAGTTGTGCTGCCGTCTGTTCATATCTTCAAGGAATGCCAAGCAATTAGCCACCGATCTGATGTTATAAATGCAAACGGCCATCTTCGTTTACAGAAGGCAATGAAGCCCTGCTAATTTACGCTGGTAAAAGAATTTGGCCCCAAATAGCCTAATTTTGATCTCCCTGAGCGAGAAGAGATTTATACCATATCATTAACACCAACCAAGCTACTCCTGTTTGCAGCCCCCGAGGCTGCAGGATTTTAAGAGAAAGAGAAACATTTTTAAGAAAAGTTCAGACATGTAATCTGCAGCAGTGTGGGTGTTGTCCAGCCGCAGCTGACACGAGGAGGTGTCTCGCTACTGCAGCTATGGCACCAGTAGGAGAGCTGTGCGATAGGGTGGCATTAATGGAGCTCTCTCCTGCTGCTGAGGCTAATAGGCAGGGATGTAACAGGGGCAGGACTGGCTGGCAATGGGCAGAACATGTAAGTTAAGTACTTGAGTGAAAACCTTTTTCTGCCTGTAAAGCTCTATAATGGATTTAACTTGGTTTTGCTGGCGGAAGTCCAGGGTCAGCATTAGACATGAATGTTGAGGATTGTCTTTTAATCACTGCAGCATTTCTAGCCTGTGCAGTGTTTACATCTGATCAGTTGTGTTGTGCCTTTTGGATAACATAGCTCCCTAACACACAGATTGGGAATGTGGGTTCACTGTTTAGTAACCATGTTTCCTCTGCCCAGAAGAGAGCATATGCCAGACTGACTGGGCTGTTGAGAGAAAAGAGGGAGCTCTGTAGCTGCCCTAGCTCTTTTCTCCAGAACAAGGGAGGTGAGGGAGCGCATTTAGGGAAGTACGGCAGAGACAGCGTGCAGGGCAGCAGCACCGCTCCCTGCAGGCTCCCCTCAGTTTTGTCCTCACCCTCACTGCTATGTGGTCCTTTGCTGCAGCAGCACAAACCCCCCCCATGTTATTCGCCTGGCTGGAGACCGTTATGCCTGAGAGGAAGGGGAAAAAAGGAGTCCCTGGGTCAGACATTTCACTCCTCTGTCTCCCCTACCATATCTGCCATCCCACATGGCTCCTCACCCACAACAGTTCACTCCTCTGAGCCACATTAAGCATCCATTTCAAAGACAAGGCAGGATGCACAGAGCCAGGAATGGCTCAAAACTAAAGTAAAAAACAGGCTTACGTGGTCACTGACTGATTCTGCCTCCCCTGCAGGGGATGCTGAGCATCCCCTTGGGATGCCTGGGGCCGAGCTGATTTGCTCAGCCTTGAATGAGAGCCAAGGCCATTTTCAGAGCACACTGGGGAGTGTGATAAATAATGTACTGATAACCAGGAACAGTTTCAACTTGTCCAATCCTAAACGGGGAAGCTCAGGGCCAAGCTCCCAGCCTTGACTCACTCTACACTGAGCTGGTTGTTCCCACATTTTCTGTGCCAGTCCTGCAGATCAGACAGATACATCACCAAACAGCCAGGCAGAATGTATGGATACATTTAATGCAACCCTCATTCAGAAAAGGCTAAACCAATTAAAATTCATGAGAGCTTCAGAGCAGCAAGTTAGCCAGAACAGAGCCTAATTAAGAGGCTTTTGAAAAGACCACCCTAAAAAGACAGCTGATCTTACCAGTAAGTCCATGTCTGCATGGTCAGCACAAGGGAGACTTCTTGGGAACCTGTTGCTCCTCTTCTTTGCCAGATGCATGAGAAGCACTTCAATACATAAACATTGAGCACATATTTCTTGTCCCTCTGATGTTTTAGGCTTTGTTTCCCTCTCTACGACTTAAGGCCTTCATTTGAACAATGCTGTGGGGTCATCACTTAATTTTTCATGGCAAGAGAGAAGAAAGAAAAAAAGAGGCTGCTTTTGTCAACATTTTAAATAGCTCTGTGCTGAAATGTGATGGTAGCAGGCAGCAGTAGCATTAAAATGATACTGTGTCCTCATGAACCATTCTCTGCCTTTCATCATCCCTGTCCTCTTTCTTTTTTCCAGGTGGAGAATTCTGGAAGAATGTTTAAAATGTATCATAAACACTCTTGGGTTTAATTATATACTCTGATTATTCTCTTGCGTCTGGAGGTGTAATTAGTAATCAATTAGCACAGCACACTAATGAGCTTTGTAGCAATACCACTCACAAAGCCGTTCTCCCCTGCGTGCAGGTCCATGTCCATAGCAATTGCCCAGCAGGAGTCCAGGCTGGTGCAGTGCTGGGGGCTGTTTTGGGTAGAAGTGAGCTGGTGCCTGCCTGCCCCCCCTGCCATGCTGTGCTTGGGCTCTGGTGAGAGTCTCCCTTGAACTCCTTTGTGCAGCTCTCTGAAGACCAAAAGGGGTCACGCTTTCAGGTGAAATAACTAAGGAAGGACAAGTAAATTCTAGAGCTGTGTAACATTAGAGCTCAGGTTTTGCTATGTTTCTTAAACCTTTGTGATAATAAAAAACTGTAAAACTCATTCTCTAAGAAATTTCAAAGCCTTTTGAGCCCTTTGCAGCTTCAGCTTGAGAGTACTGTCCCAGCCTGACTCACCTGAGTAAGGCAAAGAGCCTCTAGGT